CCTCGCCTCCTTTTCCCATAACTATCACAGTGCTTAGATAGGATAGCTAGGGGTGGGTGTGGGAGAGAGACAGAGACTGAGAAAGACGTCGCCAAGAGAGACAGAGCAGGTGAGAGTGAAAGATCAGCTTTCAAGTCTATTGTGACCCCGAAGGCCACATATTAGTTGAACGAAGAAAACAGGATGACCCCGATGTGATTCTGGTCTTTGAAAACAAGCTCTTTATGTAATCCATGCCAAACAAGGAGGTAAGAGACTCAAAGATGTGAGTGATATAATGATGCTTATATTGATATAGATAAAGATTTGTTGAAATCAAACTTACTGTCTCCAACCTGAGTGTTAGTTGATCCCCAGGAGTTCCTTGGGAATCAATCCTGACTCCCACATTGCCTGGCCTCCCCCCCCACTTTCTTCCCCTCCCCCATTTTTTTTCAGAGGCCAGGGGATGCCTGCTGCATCTTGCACTGTAGTGCAAACAGATTCCCGCAAAGAGAGAGGAAGGTAAAATGAATTTAAATTCCAAAGGGGTTCCAGTGCCGGTTTCCTAGTCCCCGAGTCAGCAATGTGTTTGTGAAAATTCAGCCTTTTTGTCTCCCAGTAAAAAGGAGCTAAATCTACATCGGTGGCCCAGTCTCGGGTTGCTATTCTTTGCATTTTCTATTCGAGTGAATGAGAGTGAATGAAGTGGCCGGGACCCTTCATTTGATCTACTCAATTGCATAAAGTGACAGAATTCTAATATATTTGTTTAATGCTCTTCAATGGGCTTTCACTTCTTTGCTTGCAAATGAAGCATCCGTGGACAAAGTTTCATCCCCCTTTAACACTGGGACATATTTCATAACTCAGGCCGTGGTTTGAAGTAATCTTGAGAGGAGTTTTAGACTCAAAAAGTGGAAAATAAAGAAACAGATGTGAAGTTATTGTACATTCCTAGAGTGGGCTCTGGGGCTATTGTGCCCCCACGGCGGGCGGTCCAGGGGCTGCGCCTTTCATGCTGTAATTGAAACATATTAATTAGATAATTTGTTGTTAGTTTAAACGAAACAAATGCAGCCCCTTTGAGGCTTCACAGTCGGTGGGTTAGGTTGTTTTTGTTTTGTTTTTGTCTGGGTGTCTCTGTGCATATGTGGCTCTTAAGAGGAAAAAAAAAATTAAATGACATTTATATTAAGAATTTAAGACTGGACCCTGATCCTTTCTGTTTCTTAACTGCTACCTTTTACAAAGGGAGTTTTCATTTGTAAAAGTATAAATCCTCACCTCTCCGCTCTGAACCCCCCTTTCCCACCACCCCTAGCCTTGCATAAACTAATGTCAATCCTACTGTCTGCAGCACCAGCCAGGATTCTTCCCCCCTCCCTCCTTCAGCCCCATCCTACTGGAGCACCTAGCCAGAGTCCTGCTGCCAAGGCACGCAGTCTTTTCTTCCATTTAAAGGAATTAAACTCTGCTAGAATATTGAAGTCATTCTGATGACTATTTACTAGTACCATTCCTTCAGGACCCTCAAAACCCACAAATGAGGCATCAGAAGTAGTGATTAACTTCTCTTGAAAAAGTGCACGAAATGCATTCATTGTGTAAGCATTTCCTCAAATCACAGAGAAAGCTGTTTTAAGATACTGGGGGATGCAGAATCATGTCAAAAAACAATAGCCACAGTGTAGTCCAACTTGCAAATAAAAAAAACCCCTAAATTTAAAGAATCAAGACTGCCTGAATGTATAAAATATAAAAGAATATAACTTATCTCAGTTCTCTAGATAAGACCTGAATACATAACCTTCCATGGTTTTGTCTCTTCCAGTTTTATTTTAAAGCTGTGTGTATTGACTTTGGACTTGAGCCAGGTGAAAAGATTTACCATGACAAAGAAAGCTATTGAAGGTATCATAGTTATAAACTTCCTTGTTTGTGGGGCACTTCAGCTAAACAAGGCGTAAGTCCCAAAGCTTGGGGGGTAAGGCGAGATGAAGTTGGGTGGAGGCATGTGTGTTTTGACTGCCTTTGGATTTCTGCTCAAGGTCAAAATATCATCAATGGATTTTTTTTTTTTTTTTTACTTATTCAACGTTGTCTGAAAAAAGATGCCTGCGATTGTGAAAGCAGGGCTCACAATGCCCAAGTTATTTCATTCTTTGCAATACACCATGACGAACTTACCAGCTGAAAAGAACATTTTCAAATACTGAGCTGAAATCGCTCCTCTACTAAAAATCAGAAATAGGATCTGTGTCATATCTACCTCTCTATCTTATCTTAAATAGATAGGTACACATCATTTCCCCCTAAATTTTAGTGCCCATGATAGGAATATTTTACCTGACTTTCAAAGCTGTTGATCTATAAAATGTCTGAGGCCCATCTTATCCCTTTACACCTCCTTCACTCCCAGTTCCAATTCAGTGTTACCACATTGAGTGAGATGAGAATATTCTAGAGATGGCCTTAATTTTCTTTTACAGGAAACTGTTAAAACATATTTAATTTTAAAACATGTATATGCTTTCTTCTTGAGTACAAAGTTTCAAAAGTTCCCTGGCTGGGGGGTGGATAAGTTTTTCAGGCTTTCCTTAGCTGATCTTGTTAATATAATTGTGAATTGGCCTTGATGAATGAGTTTAGTTGTCCCCTGTCTGACGGGCTTTAGTAGCTTCATGCATTTTAATCAGTTCAATGATTCATTTATTTTCCACCTTTTTTTTTTTCTGTTGTTGTTGTTGGCTGTGTGTGGGATCCTTCCTTTTAAAAAATGGTCACAACAGGATTTATGACACTTTATGTTAACTCTGAATTGTTTCCCAGGTAGTAAAGGTCTCAGGTGTTAAGGATTCTCCTTCTGGAATATAGTGACCATGGTCTTTATGTGAGTTTCTCTGTGTTGCCCAAGGGCCTGTTGTTTAATCATTTTACACAGTAAAGTGTTAATCACCATTTAAGTTTCTCTTTGTCTTGTAACTTCATTAGTTGAATACACACCTCATTCTGGAAATATTGTGACCTCTTCAATACGTGTCAATTAGCCTTGAGCCATAAATTCTTGACAAATTTTAATTCTCTGCAAATTCTGAACAAAAGCAAATACTTAAAGAGTCAGGCATTTGAAGTAATTTCATTCACATCTTTAAAAGAAGTGCACCGAGCATTATTTTCCCACATGAAGGAGTGAAAGAAATCTGTCCAGTTCGAAGGGAACAGGTTTCCCGCCATATAACTTCAGTTAACTGCTAAAAAACAATAATTTCAACAACTGCAATGATTTAAAGGAGCAAGGAAATGAATATTTACTCCAAATAAGAAGCATCAGAATATAAGCCTCGAATAAGCAAGTCTGTTTTACTTTGTAAATTTTCTATTTCACTTCTACCGGATTTCCATAAGCCTTATGTTTATATAAGGGCTGTAGATTCATAAAATGTATGTTTAAAGATAGACAAGAATACGCATAAAGTACTATATTGTTTCAATAAGTTTTTCTTTCAAAACTACATCTGTGCACCTGATCTAAAATAGAAGTAGTCTGTTTCCTCTTTTCCTAGGCACAAATACCTCCAAGAGTCTGTCTGGATAATTTCTCCCACAGTCTGCATGTGGACAAGAGGAGATTTGACTGTTGTCACAATATGACACGAAAAAGGCAAACTGCTCAGTGTTTCACAGAAGCATGCGCAGGGAAGCCCTGCATTCATCTTTTGCAAAACTGTTCATTGTAGCCACTCTTGAAAAACACGCAAAAACTAAAATTTGAATTTACATATTTTAATGAGAAAATATTATTTGGACTAGGTCATAATTTAAGGTAGACACCTTTTTAAAATCCTTTGTCTTAAAACAGGCATGCTGGGAACAAGAACATCAATATTTAAAATGCCATGCTAATTCTGTACAGGGAGGGAGAAAAATGAAAGGTAAAAATTTTACAGTTCTGATGACACTACAACTTTTTTTTTTTTTAACTTAAGCAGGTCACACCGGAACAATAGTTCGTTTTCCAGCAAATTACCTAAGACTCTAAAGGAATATAGCCAACAAAAGTGCATTTTGCACAGTGTACAATCATTCCTATTCACAAGTATTTACATCTCTTTGCAGCCCTTTAGCTTCTTGGAAAAGTTCTTGTAGCAAACAGAAAGACTTGTCCATGGGAGAGCTGTCCAGTGACATCCCTACAAGTTACCAGCTTATCTAAGTTCTTCCAGGGTTGCCCTTGACATTTTCGTAGTTTGGGCTTATTTCACTTTCTCTCTCTTTTTTTCAGCAATAAAATAAATAGCTAAAAAGGTCTCTAAGTAATTGGAAAGTTAACATCCCAATTAACTTTCCTATTTCCCTTTTCCCTCCCCTAAACCTGGCCAGAAATTAAAAGTAAACATTCACATTACAACAGGTACTTATAAAATGGGCTTTGCCCGCTCCTCTGCCTAGCAAGACAGAGTCAAGTTCACTGTTTACATTTTACCAGGCGCTTTGTAAACAATACAAGGTTACTTTTAGTTTTGTTTTGCTTGTGTAGAGCACAATCGTCCCCTCCTCAGTTTGGCAGCCTCTCCTCTAACTCTCAGCGCCTAGAGCCTCCGCAGGAAACAAAACCCAAAGCAAAAGAATCTGCGCAGAAGCTGGGAGGCTGGGCCGCAACTCGGGGAAGCTGCTGTCCGCTGGGCCCCAGCCGGATGGGCGTAGGCGAGCCGGGTAGGAAGATTAGTGGCTCCTTTTCGCGGCAGTTTTCCCGGACGTTAAGAGATCCGGCGCTCCGCTGTGCTGCTGCAGCCCTCCGGGGGGCATCTGTTCCAGGAAACCTCTAAGGCAGTTTCTCTAGTCTCGAAACTGTGGCAGAGTTCGGAGCTCCGCTGATGCCCGCCGTGGGAAGAGGCGCTTTTCTCGTCGAAAGCGGGCGGCAGGATTTCCCCCACCAGTTAAACGCGAGCGGGTTTCGGGGCCCCGGGGAGGGGGGCGGCTTGGCTCAGGTGGCCCCTGCCTTCCCTTGTCGCCGGGGCGAGGACAACTCCCACGGCGCCTCTCGGCCAGTCTTCGAGTTTGAGTTTTGTCTCCTAGGTCCAAAACAAAGTTCTCTCCGGGGAAGGAGGGTTAGCGGAAGGTGAAATGGACAAGTTAGGGTGGCAGTCCCAGGTCCGGGAGGGCAGAGTTGGTGGGATCCCGGGAAGACGAGTGCGGTCGTGGGGAAGGGAAGGGGAGGAGGTGCCGGCTTCTGCGGGTCAGTGCACCGCCACCGAGTGCAAGGCAGAGGCCGGGCTGGTAAGCGTTTCGCTGGGGGTAGCGGGGCTGCTTTGGCTGGTGGCTGTTTGCGAGGACGTGGGGCTGAGCGAGGGCGGCGAGTTCGAGAGCAAGGTGGGGATGGGCGCGGGCAACGCGGGCAGCGCGGGCACAGCGGCCGGCGTGGGCTTAATGGGCACAGGGATGGCAGGCAGCGTCTGGCCAGCTGCGTGGCACAGCGGTTTCAGCGGCACGCCATAAGCGCTGTAGTCGCCACTCGTCATGGAGATGGGGGTGGCCGAGTCGATCATGCCGGCAGAGCCATACACGTGCGGCCAGCCGGTGCCCAGCGAGCTGCCCATAGTAGTCAACTGGTTGGGGAGAGGGTAGGCAGCGGGCACCGGCTGCATGGCGGAGAAGGCGAGCCCCCCGGGCATCTTGTATTCCCGCGCGATAATGTTCTCAATGGCGAAGGGGTGCTTGAAGCCTGAGGGCTGCGCCACGCCGCCCAGGTTGTAGGCAGCGGCGGGCATCTGCGGCAGGTGCGTGCCCGAGGCCGCGAGCGCGCTGAGCCGCAGCTTGGCCTGCTGCTGCAGGTACTGCGCCGCGTCGGTGGGCTTGCTGGGCGCCAGGTGATCAGACTTAAGCACCTTGAAGCGCTTGCGGCGCCTCAGGAAGCTGCCGTTCTCAAACATGTCCCCGCAGCTGGGATGCAGCGCCCAGAAGCTGCCCTTGCCGGGCTGGTCGGGCCGCCGCGGGATCTTGATGAAGCAGTCGTTGAAGGACAGGTTGTGGCGCAGGCTGTTCTGCCAGCGCTGCGTGTTCTCCCTGTAGTAGGGGAAGCGGTCCATGATGAACTTGTAGATCTCGCTCAGCGGCAGCATCTTCTCGGGCGAGCTCTGGATGGCCATGGCGGTCAGCGAGATGTATGAGTAGGGCGGCTTCTGGTCGCTGTACGTGTTGCGGCCGGGCCGAGGCATCTTCTTGGTCGCCCTCTCCTTCCTCTGGGTCCGCGCGGGCCGGCGGAATGCTTGGATCTGGGAAGGGGGGAGGTGATGGGGGAGGTAGCATGGATGCACTGAGACACCTCGAGGTCAGCCCGGTCGATAACAGACTTCGGGGGTGGGGGTAGGGGCTGGGGCTCTGGATCAGCCAGCGCCCGCGCTCTTTCGCTGGCAACTTTGTGCTTTAAGTGGGACCCAGCCAGGGGGCGCAGGAGGGGAAGCCGGCGAGCGCCGCGAGGGTAGCAGGGAAGTAAGTCGGGCCTGGAATAAGGACAGAGGGCAAAGACGAAACAGAGAGCTGCTCACCTTAAAGTTGCTCCAAGTTGCGCGTTCGCATCCAGGATGGAGACGCCGCTGGCCTAGTCCCTTCCGGCTCGCAGCCGGTGCGCAGCGTCCGGGCTTGGTTGGACTCCGCGCGAACCCGGGCTCAGCGTCCCGCGCCGCCCTGTCCGCGGCGCTCTTGGCCCTGTATCCTGCGGGCTACCGAGATCCGCTGCCGAGTCCCGGCGCGGACGATGGCAGCGGCGGCCTCGGGGCTCCGGAGGGCACTGCTGTGGGCTCCGAGGCTCCGCCGAGCTAGGTGGCTGCCTCCATGTCCTCCCTCGAACCATCTGATAGTTTTAAGCGGTGACAGGAGCAGAAAAGACCCCTGTAGCGGCGCTTCATTAATGTGCCACTTCTTAGCTATCATATGACAATCGCCTTGGGAGGAGGAGGAAGAGGAGGGGGAGCGGGGGCTGCAGAGGGAGGGGACTGAGCGAGAAGGAGAGCCCGGCCGGCTCTGGTTTCTTTCGCACCTATTTACATGGGCACCTTGGCCAATAGGAATCACTTCCAGCTCCGGGCTGGGCGAGGGGGAAGAGCCTCGGCCACTGGTGGGGAGCCGGACGCGCCGGCCGGTGTGCGCCTTGTGAAGGTATGAGGAGGCGGTGGCCGCGGAGCAGGGAGCCAGGCAACCACTCAAACGTTCGCAGACAGAACTGCCGCGCAGATGATGTTTGACATGGAAATTGCTTGGCTGGGGTATTCTGTTTCCTCTGCTTTGTATCGGGTTTGTATTGTTAGCTAACTTGAGGCACGGCTTTTCCCTGATGCCGGACCTTTCCCTGCGCTTGGCACTACCGGGGGTTGGTTGCATGGGTTATTATAATGAAAACGTACCCTTCCCCCCAGTGCTCGAGAGTCAGGTGGAAGTTTGACTTGTCCTTTCTAGGCAGCTGATTTAGCTTTGCACATTTGGGTGTGTAGCTTTACAAAAAATGATGTGGTTAAAAAAATATGTACAGCATGCCATCAGACGTCCTCGTGTAAGAGCCCATTTTTAAATCTAAATGTATTGGTCGAGTTTTTTTTAAACTTAGGGTAGTAGACCTGAGCGAAGAAGAGTCAAGGTCTTTGCTTTAAAAAAAAATCCTCTAGAAATTTGGTTGAACGCAGGGTGGAGGTTCAGGGACTCCTGGGGGCAAACGGTGTGCAGACCTGAGGAGGAGCAGCGCCTGCTTGACACACTTTATTACCAGGCAAACCTCAGGGTCCCTTGTTTTTCCCAGGTGGTTTGAAACTTTTAAGAGTCTGGAGTTTCCTGGAAGTTTGCATTTTATAGCCGGAACTCCACCCACCCCCACTCCCGTTTTGTTTGAGCGCCTAGAAAAAGCGACCTTCTGTCCCACTAAAACACCAGTATAACTTCTGAGGTTTGCAAAGAACCAATGAGTTTTCCCTTCTTTTTGGTGGGGGTGGGGATGTGCCTTGGGGGTCTCCGCCCGCCCGGTGAGGGCAGCCAGTTCTTTCTAATCGGATTCGCCTTGGGAGGGTTAAATGAATCATTATTATCATTATCCTCATCGTCGCAGTCGTCGTCATCATCATCAAATTGCTATGAAGTAAATAGTCGACTCCGCCTGCATGCATGCGGTGTGCGAGCAGACGCCGGGAGTTCCCACGGGTTGTTGCACATTTCTCCGAATTTTACGGTTTTAAATAGAAATTCATTTTACTGCGTTGTTAAAAACTCAATAACCTTCAACCCACACAGAATCATCTTCAAAGTCCAGAAATGTGAGAACCTCTTTTTGTTTATTGGAAGTGGTGGTGGGAGGGGGATCTGCGCGTGAAGTTTCAATACGTTCAATGATATTAGAGCTTTATTAGTGGAGCTGTTTGGGGTTAGTAGTAAAAAGATCCCCCAGCGCTAGGGCGCGCACACGCGCGCGCGCACACACAAACACACACAACTTCATTAACCACAGTTTCGGTGGTGGTCAATAACTCACCAAAACGTAACTTAAACACGATGAATTTAGGAGATTAAACAATTTCATTAATATTGAAATGGCTCTTGCGTCTGGGCTGCCTCGCTTTAGATGCAAGCGCACGTTTTTCAATATTAACAGAAGTGCTTGAAGAAAAGAATAATGTCACCTTCTTAATTCGGAAAAAATAACCAGCAGGGGGAGGTGGGTGTGAGGGGGTGAGGGAGGGACGTTGACCTATCTCTGGGGACACGGTTCAAGAAGGGGAGATAAATGTACATGTACGTATTGCCCTTCTCACTAGATAAACCATTTGGGCTCTGGTGGAGCCTTGACAGAGCTTCCACCCGTAGGCTCCTGTTGTGGTTCCCAGAGCGCGCGCTTCAGCTCCTAAGGAGGTGTGGCATTGGGGTGGGGGGGGCTTGGTTTTGCAACAGGATTCCGCCCCAGGGTCCTGGGGGTAGGAGGAGCTAGGGGGTCCAAAGAGCCGGGGTGTCCGCGAAGAGGAATGGTGGGCAAGGCTTGTGTTTCCCGGAATGGAAAGGCTCCTGTCCAGGCTACTGCTGGCCTCCGTCCGACGTAGGAAACGCCGACGTCCTATGGACTAGGCGGGAGCACGGCTGGTTTGGAAAGACATCTAAATTCCCAAGTATTTTTAGGATCCTCTCAGCAAATACGTATACAGTACATTCTGATACGTAGAAAGAGAGAGAATATTATGGGTGGTTATCAGGATGCTGAACGACAGGAGCGAAAGATTCCGGTTTTCCCAGTGAGGCAGGAGGATTCTTTTTTATCCAGTATGGAGCGTGTTGAGGGTGAGGAATGGGGAGAGAGAAGTGTTTTCTTATTTTAACAATTGGTATTTTGTTGCTTTGCAAAGGGTCATTGTATGCCTGTCGAAATCATTGCTCAGAGTAAACAGAAGATTAACTAAATTCTAAGAGTGGAAGCGTTCGAGTTAAAACAAGTTGGAATAAATCTTTGTTTATCTCCTCTGGAAAGTTGTCACCACCACCACCACCCAACCTCCCCACCCCCGCGTTTGGAACATGTGACAATACAAGTAGGAATCTTTAGGATTTGGCTAGGATTGGGATAGTTAAGGCACATTCCCCAGGCCGCGGGTTAATTAAGTAAACCCAACCTAATAGCACAAATTTGCCTTGGATTGGGGGTGGGGGGAGACGCTGTGAGATACCCATTTAAAAGTGTGCTTTGCTACAAAGTTTTATCTTGGGTCCTGCTGGAGGTCTACAAAGCCCAGGGGTGGGAGAGAGGATTTGCATGCTATTTACAGCATTTTAAGACGGTATTATGAAAAGGAGGAGGGAAGGAGCACTTTCCAGAAATCTTGAAAAGTGCATCAGAGTCTATTGTACGGAACCTAAAGCAAACAGAAGCTGGCGGGGGGAGGGCACATCCGACCCGGAGGCTTAGGGAGTTGTTGGGAAAACTGTATAAAATACACATAAGTCAATTATACCCATGTGCAAACCAAATGGAAATCTCTTTGGCGCAGTAGCCATTCATCGCCTCCGCAGAGCCCACCACCGACCACCTTTCTGCTTGGAGAGTTCGCAATACCCTCTTTTCCCACAAGCTGGACCACACACGGCTACAGATTTCGTAATAATTTATGCTAATTTCCCTCCATAAATCCACAATTCGCTCCAGTGGCACCCGGGCGGCTGGAGGGAGTTAAAAGGAGACCGAGGGGTGACAAATACAATATTGATTTTGATTCCTTCTGTCGTCAAGCAGGTGTGTGTGTGCGTGAAGGGTGGGGCTGGGGTTTGGGGGCCGGGGCTCCAGGAGAGGAAAACCTTCCCTGGCCCCCGCCAACCCCTCCGTGTACACTTCATAAAATAACTCGCCTTGGTTTGTTAATATTTACCAAACATCAGCGGGAGGTGGAGGGAAAGTGCCCGGTAGCTTCTGAATGTTTCCTGGGCTATCTTACCTATCTATCTAGCCATCTATCTTTTTTGTCCCCACTAGGAAAGTGTACTTTGCGCCGTCTCTCTGGAGCGTTTGCCTTCCTCCCTCTTCTTTCCTCGCTCCCCCAGTCCGAGTTCTCCCTCCCTCTCCCCGATCTTTCCCCGCTCCTATCGCATCCCGGTCCTTTACTCCTCTTTGCTTCACTTTTCTCTCCTCTGGGTTTTCATATCTCTACCTAATTGGCAGAGACATGCGTCGCGGGGAGAGGGTCGACGGCTGGCGCGCCGGGGACGTCCGGGTTTCACCGCAGTGCGGGTCTCCTCGGCCCGGCCCCGCCTCTCCGGGCCGCCTCCCGCATTTGCCCCAACGCTGCGCTCGCTCTGGGAACCCGCGCCAACGCACCGCGCGGCTTTGTCCCATCAGTCATTCTTTACCAAATCTGCACTTTGGTGGCGTGAAACGACTTAGCTTTCTTTTCAAAAGGATTTTGTTCCCGGGGCATTCAGCACTAAAACAAACTCCCTCAGCCTGTCAGCGGTCAATTAAAAAAAAAAAAAAATGCCGTCCTGTGTCCTGAAAGCTGTTTGTCCTCGGAATCTGCGCACCTCCCCCCTACCCACCCCGCACCGCAGGGCCTGGCTTTGACTTTCTGGATCTCAGGACCAGAAGGAACCCACTCAGCAAGTTCTCCTGTCCCGGGGGCACCGGATGGCACCGACTTGCTGATTTCCAGAGCCGGGCACCTGGCTGGGCGCGTGTCAGGGGAAACCTATCTGCCAGGACTATCCCACGACTGCCTGGAGAGTTTGAGCCCACTCTTTCAGGCCACTAGAACCAAGTCAGGCGGGGAAGTCAAACTGCCCAAGGTAGAGAGGCGGGGAGGGGGCAAACTTTCTGCTCTGGTACTTATTGCCAACCGTCAGTGAAAGGAGTCGGTACCAATCAGGATTCTGTATCTACCCCCAGCCCCAGCCAGCGTCCCCCCCTCACCCCCCACCGTGCTGCCAAAGGGGTACACTTTTTCCAGCTAGTAGGAAAGAGTGCCTGCTGGGGAACTTCGAAGCCATCTATTTCATTAGAGTTGGACTTTAACTAACGTAACACATAACAAAGAGGTTGAAAAAAACTTTAGAGAAATATATTGCCTGGAATCAGTTCTTCCCCTCCAGGCCCAATCTCACTGGGTTCTATGAAAGGCAAAAGTCTCCACGTCCTGCTCACTCTTTACTCTCATCCAAACTGGAAGGCTTGACTTCAAGGCTGTTCACTCCTTAGTCCCTACCAGATCTTGCTCAGAGAGGAATAGAGGGCCCCTGGTTGTGGCTGGACACCTGTAATCTA